CAGTGGCCCTAATTCTCTTCCATAGAATTCTATATTAAACTGAAATAATATTTAAAAGTCAGTTAACTTTTTTTTTCCAGTGGCCGTAATCCTCTTCTGTATTAATGTCCTACAGGCTTTCCGTGAACATTGTTTTCTCATTAATAAATGTGTCTAGTGTGGAAGTAAACAGCTTCTCCAGTCGGTAATAACCTTCATTGCCATGTGCTGTTTAAGTAGCATGCGCGTCTGGCAGATAAAACTGGCTCAGGTGTTCCTGATTGGAGAGCTGCAGGTGTGGAAACATCTTTAGAAGCGGAGAGCGTCCCTATCGAGCCAAAGTTTTAAAATCAGCGCGGAGAAATAGAAACAAACTGATTTTTATTCTGCAAAATGAGGCCGTCCTGTCTAAAGGTAGGTGTTAATATGCAGATAACCGAAGGAAAACGTCCGGTTTAAGAAAGTGGTTAACATGGATATATTTTATATGATCAGGTATTGGTGCTTTTACTCGGCTTCACGTGTCTCGGAGTTGAAGGTATGGATAAAGAAGTGTTTGGATGTGTAGTTTTATGTTGAGGTAATGCATGCCCTCATTTACCTGCAGGAATCTGCAGCGTGGAGCATTGCACCGACCCAACAAGGTGCGCCCTGTCTGAAGACCAGAGGAGCTGCAGATGCGCCACCGGCTTTTATTCTGCACGATGCGACCAAAGTAGGTCTCCTCCCAGCAGTCTTTGTTTTGTTTTTTTTTTCTTGTCTATTTTTCATAGATCTATGCATCTTTGCAGGAGAACCTAAACATGAAACTATAGTGTGATTTGGTTTTCATCTGCAGTCCCAATGGGATGCAGCAACAGCACCATCAATCAGATGTTGATACATTCATTATTTTAATATTATATAGATCTAATTATTGCCCTTTAGCCTACTTGTGGTCAGTGATCATAAAAGTGGTTTCTTGTCCTCAGATCTAAAGGGTTTGGATCAATTATGCTGAACCACTGCACCTCCATATTTCCCTACCCCAAAACTGTTTGGCGACCAGAGAAAGATGTTTAGTAAATAAGACAATGGTCTAATGTACTGATCAGGCGCCTAAGGCTGGGGATTTTCATGTGTCTTATTAAACAGAATAGATTCAAACTTGTCTTGTTGGCTGAGATCAGCTCCCATGGTTTAGTTCTTCCTTCCTCTGCTGCCGTTCTTAAGCACACCCTTGGTCTTCAGCACTCCTCTATGTAGCTTCTGGAAGATCTCATGAGAGCCCAAATGGATCGAAAGTTCCGCATCAGAATTTCACTGTAAATTTGAGACGTTTGATACTTCACCTCTTTTCCTCTTTTTAGATTGTGATGTCAGATAATACATTACAATCAAAAAAATGAGTGGTGGTTCCTAACCTTTTTTTTTACTTGTGTACCCCCCTTGGCCATTATATCATACCATGAGCACCCCCCTTGGTCAAATGTGTTGATTATTTTCCAAAAAAAAAAGTTCAAATAATTATAAAATGCTAAATATTTAATTTGACATGAAAAATTCTCACAAATGTCATTCTTTTGAATAAGAATAAAGAATAACATAAATATGATGCCTGGAGAGTGATTCAGTTTTAAAACAAATACAAAATCAAATTACGTTAAAAATCGATGCTCTTCTGAGTAAGTCCCCTTATACACACATCTAAACTTAACAAATTGGGGAAAATGGCAAAAACAAAAATTAAGATTCAGTTATTTTTACTTTTCATCATATACTATTAATAAAACACCTGACCTTCTGAATCCCCAGTAACAGGATTTTTTTGTTGCCATTTATCTTTGACTGCAGCTGCTTTGGTGCATTCTTCTCTTGTAAATTTTGATTAGGGCATTTTTCCCCCCATCTTTTTGGTTGATAAAATCTTGGTTTATTTTGCATTTGGGTCCTTGCAGGGGAAAAACCAATCCCAGCCCTATTTTATTGTATTACTTGATCTGGGAAGTAAGACATTGAATGTTTTCATATATCCCATGCAGTGCATTGGCAGACCACTAGAGGAACTAGTACCCCTAGTTGGGCATCACTGTTCTTGAGAATCATGTCTGTTTGAAATCTTTCCATCATACCTTTTCCTTCCACTCAACTTTCTATTGTGTTTTATGGTTGTCTGTGTAGCCAGCTTCTTCTGCACTGAATATTCTGAGATATTTTTATCTGTATTCTGAAACCAAATTAGAACAGTTAAACACTCTTAATGTTTAGCAGCCCATTTGTCAGAATGATTTAAGAAAAGTTTAAGTAGCTAAATGAATGACTGTTAAAATGGATCAAAGTCTGTCAAATTATTCAAGAGGAGCCGTCTAGAGTACAGGACGATCTTGCTGCTTGGATGAAATGAAAAGGGGAATGATCCTTTTAATACCACAAACTGAACTCTCTGGGTTGACATTTATACTGTATTACACATGATGTAAAACAAACGATTCACAATAAATTGACCTAATAGCATGATTAGAGACGGGTTTTTAAAACACCCACAGGTCAGCGGAGCAAATATGCAATCATCTGTAGGACAGGGTGAAAGATGGTGCCTCCTAAGGGCTCATCTGAGAAACAACCAGCAGAATCTGGGTTTGGACCAACGGCTATTAGCAGTTGTGTTTAGATCAGGGACCGATATTCAGCAGCCTGTATATTTAATCTTAAAGTTTAGGATGCAAGATGACTGTAAAACTAAACTGTATCTGCTGGGAGCCAGAGTGGAGGGTATAAAAACCAGTGGGTTTAGTGGATTTTGTGAGAAATTTGTCTGTGTCCTAAATGGCTTGGAGATTTTAAATCGGTAATGAAGAAAATAAAATGGGGAATGTTTTCTAGATGTTCTTATAATATGTCACTGAAGAAATATTTTCTAAATAAACCAGAAAGATAAATGGAGCCAATATGTCTGAACAGGTTATAACAAGGTGTGGGTGTGTGTGCGTGCAAGTAAAAAGATGAAGCCTGATCTTTAGGGTGAAGGTGCATGGTGTTTAAAACCAGCAGGTCACTGATCTGAGAAACATTGGATGATGGTGAATAGGCTATCCGGCTGGTTGGTTTTAAAGAGCTGTTTAGTTTTATGTCATCTGCATAGATGGTATTGGCAATGGAGAGGATAAGGCCTGGTTATAGAAGAGTGTAATAACAAAAATAATGGACCCAGAAATAAACCTTGTGTAGCCCCAAAGGTTAGAGATGCAGTATGAAAATAACTTGGCTGTCTTGATGCAGAATGTCCTGATGGAGAACCGGAGCTGCAAACGGCAACTAGAAATTTCAATCTTTTAGTAAAACATTGTTTGAAATCATTTTAATGTTGTGAAGAGATCATTACAAACCTCTATAAAGCCAGAATGAAGGGAGATGAAGCTCTGACACCTACATGGGACCTATCTGGGTCTCGGCAACCTTTTCTAGTGGTCAACAAAATCAAGCTTTAGAAAAGAATGAAAGTTAAACTGGATTGACGTCTGGAATTAAATTCTTCAGGAAAGATGTAGTCTATATAAAGGGAGATGAAGGGGAACAAGACCTTACTCACAGAGTTGGTCGTTGGATTGGACTAACTTGGAGAAACTGGAAGACTTGAGCTTGTAACATTAACATGGAGCCACGATTGACTAGTGAAACTGCTCTTATTTCACTTTCAGGTGCTCAGATTAAAGTTGTGTGTGGCAGAGACTACATGAGCATCAGAGCCACAGAAGATTTCTTCTTGTACCACAAAGTGCCGCTGGAGGCTCTGCATTTGCCCAACAAATCCTGTCGGGCTCAGAGGGAAGTCATTGGAGACACCTCGTACTACATGTTCCGGATCTCCAAGGAGAAATATTTGGTCTGTGGGGGAAAACCTCTGACGGTAAAACCAGAGCACCGCTACTCTCCATGTCTGACATCTATGACCCAAACTAAATCTCTGTTCTGTTGCAGAAAAATTCAACCCACCTTCTTTACTCGCTGACTGTCCAATCAGAGCCGCAGATTAAGGGGAATATAATCAGAGACCCAAACTTTAAAATGGACTTCACATGCATCTATCCTCATATCAGAACCGTCAGCCTGCCTTTTCCGGTCTCCCCCATCTCCAGGTAAACTTCCCTCAGGAAAACCAAATGGAACAAATTCTGATCAGCCTGCGATAGTTTGGATTTGGTAGTCATTTTTGTCTCCTTTACAACCAGTGAGATGATGATGCGGATAGATGAGATGGAGGCCACCATACAGATGCTGCTTTATGCTGACCACACCTTCACCAATGCCTACACCCATACTCCAACTATTGAGCTCAATCACAAGGTGAGGTGACACCACTCTATTCCTGATGAAGCTCTGGGCTCAGATGTCCTCAAAGTGAATGTAACTGAAGAAGGAAAGTCTAAGACTGAGCAAAGAATGATCATTTTTGGATTTAAAGAAGCCTTGGGTCTTGAGAACATCTCCAATGTTTATTTTTGGTGTCTGGGAGCTTTTTGGAATAAACCCCTGAACCTTCAATGGCAGATCTGAGAGATATGTCTTTAAGAAAGGGTTGAAAAAGCCAGCAGAGATCTGAGGTTTATCATCCGGCAGGTTTCAGCCTGTAGGTGTCCAGACCTGTTTGTATTTTCTGTACTCGTATGCTGAAGAGGAATCCTTTAAGACTCTCTGTAAGGGAAAAAAGTAACCCTTCAAAAAACCTGCTTAACATTACTTCCTAATCCTGCAGTATAAGTGGAGGGCATGGTTGTAGAAGGTGCACCTTACCCTGCTCTTCTGTGTCTGATCTGTAGGTTTACATAGAGGTGGCTGTGACGGTGCCTGAAGATTACTTCCTGCTGCGAGTCAATGACTGTTGGGCCACACAGTCTCCTCAGCCAAACGCTACAGAAGGACTTCTTCACAGCCTCGTTCATAATGGGTCAGAACATCTTTTTATATTCTTCCATTCTCTCTGTGCTTTGACCAGTCATCGTCTCACGGTCCCTCTTTCTCAGCTGTGTGGACGACCACACAGTCTCCTTCATCAGCCAGAACGGAGACAGTTCCACCGTTCGTTACAGCTTCGACATGTTTCGCTTCACCACAGAGCCTCATGAGCTGTACCTGCACTGCAGTGTGCAACTGTGTGACCTGGATGACCACAAGTCCTGCATGCCTGTAAACGCTGCTCACTGTCCTTAGAATATGAAATGCTGTAGAACTGCCTGCTGACTCTGTTTTTCTTCTAGAGCTGTAATGTGATCCGTAAACGAGAAGCACTGAGGGAGTATCCCAGCCAAGGCCTGCTGTCATATGGACCCATAAGGATTGAAATGCCAGACCAGCCGGAGTCCAGTGAGTTCTTTAAGCCTCGGTTATTGGAAGCTGTTCATCTAGTCAGTTTGTCTCGATTTAATGCAGATGTTGTATTTGTTTAAGGTATATTGACCACCGTGGTTCTTCCTGTGGCCGGAGTCTGGACTTTAGGCTTCTTCCTCACCGTCCTCATCAGCGTGGCCAAGGCAGGCAGCAGGAGGATCACAAAACCTGAAGCTCACTGACATCCAGCCGGCTGCAGTCGGCAGCATAAACAAAGTCTTTATTTCTGTTTTGCTCCCCTCTACAGAGGTTTCAACAGCCTTTTCAGGACTGAATAATTTGTAATTCAATATTTTCTCAGTTTATTTTTCCTTCAGACTCTTCCCTATCAACTAGTAATTGTTGAAGATAATAAAAAAAAATCCAAAAATTAAACATCTTATTCCTTTTTTGATTAGACATGTTGTATTGTTAAACTCATGAGGCAGAAATGTTCATTTCAAAGTCGACATGCTCACTTGGCCGAATTCTTGACTGACTCTTCCTGCTAGGGATTTCTGGAACTGCTCTCACCTGGGATAACCTAAGCTTATGTCTGCTTATTTGACCTAAGGAAAACAGCAAATCCAGAGATGGTCTCCAGCTCATTCTGGAGAAGGCCAAGACTGATCATAAGGTTTAAAAATCAGAAAATCTAAAACTTGTTGAAGTTCTACAGCCAACATTGGAATGTTTTCACATCCTTCACTCGACATCAGAACTGAATCGATCATAAATGATTGATGTGGAATGGAGTTTTTTTTTTTTTTTTTTCTCAAGAATTAGGTTCTGTTTGACCAGCTGCAGTTTAACAATAAAAAAGCAGATGGCGTCCTCATGCTTTCTGAAGTGGCTCAACTTCCTTGATTATGGCAAGCCATATTATCATAGAGTAAAGTCACTCTGACATGGCTTTGAGTGCTTTCAGAGGACAGCAGCTGATCAGAGCTAGATAAAAAATTCAATGGGCCCCAGCTTCAACAATTTAAATGGCCCTTTTGAATCAGCCAGCCAAATCAAACGCCTGACGATTGCTTGACATCAAATCATGATAAATTAAGGCATTTTCTCATGGGTTTAAATGGCTCCAACCTGGTACTGAATGACCTGGGGTTGCTTTGGCTAAAGGGTTAGAACCTGAAGGGTTCTGCATGTGTAGAGTGACTGCACCAATGTGTCTATACTCAAGATCAAAGAACATCTAATGATGTGGGTCAACTGAGCCCAATATAGGCTAAACAATGTGACTTGGTACAGTTTGACTGGTAGCCAGAAATGTTTTAAATGACAGCCATTTTTGTTTTAAGTTCAACCTTTCCATTTGGGCTAAACGGTGTAATGAATTTAGAGGGTCCAGAGAGAGAAATTCTTTTTAAACAATTTTAGCTACAGCAAAATGTTGGAGACATTCAGTAAATATATTCCAAGAAGTTAATTTCTGGACTGGACATGAGCATCCCTGTGCTATAGGATTTAAACCATTGTAGGTGGGCACTGAGGGCTCCAAAGTGTATCAAGAAGACGTCTCCCACACCATGAAACTACCTCCTCCAGTCCAACCTTTTGATCTAACAGGACTGATCCTTACTTTTCAGCTAAAATGATGAATCATCAAACCAGGGAACACTTTCTAAGCTGCTCCAGTCATTTTCTAGTGGTTGTGGTTGAACTATAGCATCTGGCCCATGCCACCAGACCTCAAGACATTTTCTTCCAATCAGTTGCTGGGGGTTTTCTCTCCAGACCAGAGAGTGAATCTAATAAAGTGGCCGATTCTCGCTCTTTATTTTTCCAATCCAAACAATAAATAAAATCAATTTCATTATGACTTGGTTTGATTATATGATATAAGGACCTGCCATACAGGGAGGAGACCTCCCTCATTGAAATCGTTTATCATCTCTAATCGGGAATTTCCGTCGTTTCTTTTTTTTTTTTTGATATGTATTGTAGCCGAACACAACCGATTGATTCTGATTGGTTCTGATCGTGTCTTTCATGCCCAGTTTTAAGCAGGGACTAAACGAACTATTTAACTTTGCAGGGTCCGGTTCATCTGAACCCGAGTTTGCTGCAGGGTTTTCTACCCGCACTTAGCAGCTGATCGGACCAAACCGAACCGAACCAGAGGCATGCAGTCCTGCCTGTAACCATGGATTAAAGCAGATGCCCCATCATCTGCAGATCGGACCTTCTCAGTCAGAGATGACCACTTGTTGCAGAGGAGTTTGAAGAACAACCAGAGCGCTTTGCCTTCTGCTGCTGGAGCAACATCTTCATCATCATCTTATATCAGCTTTGGGGAGGAAGATGTCCCCCCAGCAGCTGTGGACACTCTTCATCATCACCATCATGATCTCGGGGTGTTTTGTCTCCTGCAGCGCAGAGATGCCAGATGAAGACAGCTTCAACGCTGAGGTGAGCTGATCATGATCCAATTAAGCAGAAGGTCAGGAAGGAAAGAACCTCTGGAGCCTCTTTAAACTAAATCAGTCCAGATCTGAAACATTTAAATCTGTATCAGAAGGATAAACCAATCAGCTGTTTGGCTTTCATGAATAAACTGAAGTGAAGTAAGTCTTCTGCACAGGTTCTTTGTCTTGTTTTGAACTGGTTTCATGTGAGCAGCCAGTTTAATCTTCAATGTTAAATCAGCCTAATGCTCATGAAGCTGAGTCTAACTCCTCAGACTGAACAAGTCTGAGAGAAGAGACAAAGAAGAACTTTTCCAAAGGATTACTATCCTTAATAATCCTAAGGTGCTACCCATGGTCCGACTCAGTTTAAAGATTACTCAACCAGAAAGCCTCTGTTGTCAAATTGAGGAGGTAAATCTGACATTAAATCAGATGTGTTGGAGCAGGGCCAACATCCAGGACCAGACCTCAAAGTTGGACTTTGTTAAACTTAATCACCCCCTAACCCCGATGCACTGCAAAAATGATCTTAAAATTTGGGGAAATGTCTTAAAATATGTATATTTACCATTAATTTGAGTGGGTAAATAAGATTATCTGCCAGTGGAATGAGTGTGTTTACCTTTAAAAAAAGATAATTAAATATAATGCACATGAAATAAGAGACAGTAGTTGTTTTTTCTTATTGTAAATGTAAATAATCTTACACCATTGGCAAAGTGCCTTACTTACCTGCTTAATTCAAGGAAAAAAATACTTATTTTAAGAAAACTGCACTTTCTTAGATTTCCATTTTTTGCAGTGTAAATGGTAATGAGTAACCTGACAACAGCCAGATGCATGTCTCGCTCCGCCCAGCTCCACTCACATGTCCACTCACATGTCATATGTGTCTCACTCATATGTGAGTGGAGCTGGGCGGAGCGAGACATGCATCTGGCTGTTGTCAGGTTAGGTAATGAGTCCCATGTACTGTTTTCATTGGGGGTATTGGAGCTTGATGACCTGTTTAAGATCGGTGCATCAATCAGATTTAGGTCAGGACTTTGACTAGGCCACTCCAAAACCTTTCTGTTTTTGTAAAACACTCCAGGGTGGACATGCTGCTTTGTTTTGGACCATTGTCCTCAGACAATCACGCCACAGGCATCATGTTAGACTAGAGGTAACGTCCTTCTCATATGTTGTTAGTTTTACATCAGAGCCGGGCCTGTGTTAATTTGGGTCAGCAGTAAGATGTCCTGGTTTCTTCTTGGACCTCCTCCATGAGTTGGGCTTTATTTTAAAGGTTTATTTATGCTCTGGGTCCTGCAGTAATCAGGTCTGGGTGCTGCTTGCAAGGGAGGGTGGTAAATAGCTTTTCATTGGTTTGGGTAGATGTCTGTTTTTATTTTGTTTGGCTTCTTTTTATTCTGGATTAACATTTGTTTGACAATCTCAAACATTTAGGAGGAACAAAAAAATAAATAAAAACATAATACATCTGCCTTCTTTTTAAAGCCTAGCCTTTATAAAGCTCTTAGAGAACACATCTGTAAGTCTGTACCAGGTGGACCTTTTCTCTGTCAGCTCTGAAAACAAACCGGTTCTGATCCAGCTGCATGCTGGACCTGCTGCTGAGGCATTTTAACGATGGAGCTCCATTGTGTCATGGAGGTGTTTCCACGCAGAGGATGTTTACTAGCATCATTGAGTTCAGTTCTTACCAAAAAATACCTAGTTATCGTGTTTCCATCCCCCTCGCCTGGTCTGTCAGTCCAGGAATGCTCTTCTTGTTGATGTGAGCCATCTGGTTTTTTATCTTCTCTGTTTGTTGCCTTTTAACTCCTGAAAAGCACTCCGACGTTTAACGTTCTCTCTCAGCTCCCTCCAGCTGTCCTGCTCATGTATTTGTTGCTGAAATATGAAAACAGCCTGAAGTAATCCACCTTTTGACCTGAATAAATCAGACTTTCTTCTCCCAGGCTTGGCTTCGTCACTTTGGCTACCTGTCCCAGGCCAGCAGACAGATGTCCACCATGCATTCGGCTCAGATTTTGTCCAAAGCCATCAGTGACATGCAACGCTTCTACGGCCTGGAGGTGACTGGGAAAATGGACCCTGCCACTGTCGCGTAAGCTCTGAGCTCCAACATTTGTTAGCAACAGCAGATGAAACATGCATAGATTAACAAGTCCATTTAAGGCTGCATGCAGAAGTATTTAGATTTATATTTTCTCACATTTCTAACCACAAACTTCACTTTGTATGTCAGACAGAGCAACATAAAAATAGAGTAAAATCTGACTGTATAGTTTAATCCTGACAACACTGAACCCACTGGAAGCATGGTAGTGACAGCATCAGGGGAACAGGTGTATTGTGCAGAGTGGATGGAGTGAAAGGAAAAGAGTTCACCAATGCTTTCACAATGTTCTTGGATCAGTGCTGGAAAAACATTTTGTAAATAGGCCAAAATCAACAGAATGGATGTTCTGATGAACCAAGAAAAGTCAGATGGTTTTAAAAATTAGAAAATACAAAAATATTTTGATTCTGTTTAAGTTAACTTCATTTTTTTTTTTTGCTGCTCCATTATAACTAAACATGCAATTTCTATAAAACAGAGTAGAAAATGGATCTGTGAATGAGTCGACCCTAAAGAGGAACCAGAAAATGGATCTGATCCAAGTTAAAATCACAGAGTGTTTGTGTTTCTTCTATGAAATACAACCAACTTGGTGAATACTAGGACATACAGTATATTTAATTGTTTTTCTATTTCAAGAGCATTTAATCTGTCAGAGAAACGCTTACCGTAAAAATTTTAAAAAATGTGTCCCCCCCCGGGTCCGATAAGGGCCCCCAGGCTGTACTTCAGACACTCCTGCACCAAACTATTCAACTTCCCTTCAAACCAAACAGCTCGATGGCTGAAACTTGGACCCAGCTGTTGCAACAGGACAATGATCCTACTGATGCATCCGAAGTGGTTTTGGACCGGATAAAGCCGGCTAGCATTCACATTCAGCTTCCACCCTGCTGAATACTGATGAAGTAAACACAAAAGGCGGGCTCCTTTGGGGAAGCCAAGTGTTTTAATGAACTCAGCCTGAGTGATTCCAGAAGCTTCATGTCGAGCAGCAGCCTCCTTACCGTATGAATATGTCTCACCTGAGGATCAGATAAAACCAGGGGCCGTTCTAGAAAGGGGCCAACAGGGGCCAGAGCCCCAGTAGATCTGGTCCTGGCCCTCTGTGGTAAAGACATCATGCTAAATAAATTTGTGGTATATAAATGATATGTGCTGGCATACAACCCATAATTGAATAAGTTTCTTTATGAGTTTCATTTTAACAATGAGTGAAAAAAGGACGTTATTCCACTTTTATTCATATTTAGATATGATCACAGTTTTCATTTACTTTACTGGAGGTTTCCAGAGCTGCAAATAGCTTTTTGGTTCACTTAATATTTCAAAGGATTGTTTCATTTGGTGTCACCATGAAAAAACCCTGGCCCCACCTTGGCCCACTATATAGATTTATTCTAGAGCCCCCTCTGGATAAAACCTCTAATAGATAAAAATGTGTTCCCAATTCTAGATTCAAAAGGCAACACCACACAGGGTCTGTTTGATTGTGTTTCTGGCTGCAGGGCAATGCGGCGGCCTCGCTGTGGCCTCCCTGACAGACGACCTGAGGAGGGGGTCAGCCAGCCGAGAAGGAGGAAACGTTACGCCCTCTCAGGGAAACGATGGGATAAAGACCGCCTCACATACAGGTTCCCCTCCCTAAAAATAATGAAAAAATAATAATAAACTTTCTGTTTCCAGTGCTAAAGAACGTCTTTCTTCCAGTATATTAAACCAGCAGATCCCGTCCTCCCTGGGCCCAGAACGGACCTATGACGCCATCCGCCGGGCCGTTGATGTCTGGAAACGTGTGACGCCGCTCAGCTTCCAGGAGCTGCCAGCAGAAAGCAGCACCAACAGCAGCCGTGCGGAGCTCAGTGACATCCTGATCCTCTTTGCCTCTGGTTTCCATGGTGATATGTCTCTGTTCGATGGTGAGGGTGGGTCTCTGGCCCATGCTTACTATCCGGGTCCAGGAATTGGTGGAGACACGCACTTTGATGCAGATGAGCCGTGGACACTGGACAATGAAAATCAAAAAGGTTTGTTTCTTTGTGGTTCTGCTCAGTTTGCTGCATCCTCACTGTTTGTGTTTCATCCTGATGCAGTCTAAGCTCTACATAGATGAATGACGTCATTTCCTCTTTATTGTTTGGCTCCATCACCTGTGCTGTAGGTGTAGACCTCTTCCTGGTTGCAGTGCATGAGCTCGGCCACGCTCTGGGTCTGGAGCATTCAGGTGACCCTGATGCTATGATGGCTCCTCTCTACCGGTGGATGGACACTCAGAACTTCAGCCTGCATGAGGATGACATCAGAGGAATACAGAATCTGTACGGTAAGAAGCTGCACTCTGAAACTGTTTTAAAAGATGCAGAAAAACGGCAATAATTTACATCATTTCGTCCTGCAAGGTTTGAATAATCCAGTAAATGAATGTTATATGGATACACTCAGTTTGTTTTCTATAATATAATATATATATATATATATATATATATATATATATATGTATATATATGTATATATATATATGTATATATGTATATGTATATATATATGTATATATGTATATGTATATATATATGTATATATGTATATGTATATATATATATATATA